TTGTTTAATGTCTCGTCATTTATCGACATTAGGACTTTAAGGTACATAACGTGGGTACATTCAGCCTTTATAAGGTTTTACACACTAATAATGTACCACTGTAGCTATTTTCGGTGCTACACCCAATAGAGAGTATATATATAATTCGGAAACAGGAGGGAGGATAGCCAATGCATTTTCGAAGGCTATGAATCAGTCTTGACATCTTTTCTTCCTCTTCATCTTCTTATTTTTCTTATCTTTTTATTATTATTTTTTTAAATTTCCTTTTCTTTTTGTTGTTCTTCTTCTCCTCCTTCTTTATCTTCTTTTTCTCGATAAAGTTCAACGAAAGTTTCCTAATGTCGAGAGGAGTGGCCATGGTTTCTCCGTCTTAATTCTCGTCGAGGCAGATGGTGCGGACGAGCCTCTCGGACACGACGTAGGGGTCGGCGTTGGACGAGGGGCGGCGGTCCTCCAGGTACCCGCACTTGTCTTCCGCCACGCCCCTGGGGATGCGGATGGAGGTGCCCCTATTGGCCACGCCGGAGGAGAAGTCGCGGATGTTGGACGTCTCGTGTCGTCCCGTGAGGCGGCGCTCGTTGTCCTTGCCTCCGTGGGGGTCGTAGGCCTTGATGTGCTCTGAGTGGACCTTCCCGAGCTTCTCGATGGCCGCCTCGATCTCCAGAATGCCGTTGGCCTCCCTCATGGCCTTCGTGGAGAAGTTGGTGTGCATGCCGGCGCCGTTCCAGTCGCCGGTCACGGGCTTTGGGTCCAGGCTGACCGTCACCCCGAAGTCCTCGGCGACTCTGTGCAGGAGGTAGCGCGCCATCCAGAGGTCGTCGCCCATCGTGATGCCCTCGCACGGCCCCACCTGGAACTCCCACTGGGCGGGCATCGTCTCAGCATTTGTGCCGAAGATGTTGATACCCGTATACAGGCAGGCCCTATAATGGGCCTCCACCACGTCGCGTCCGTAGACCTTGTTGGCCCCGACAGCGCAGTGGTAAGGCCCCTGAGGCCCCGGGTAGCCGTTCTTGGGCCAGCCCAGGGGATGCAGGTCGAAGTCAAGAAGAGTGTACTCCTGTTCGATGCCGAACCAAGGGTGCTGGTCTTTCGCCTTCTGCATGACTTCCAGGCATTTCCATCGCTGGTTAGACTCCGTGGGCTTCTTGTTGTGCTTGTAGGTCTCGCAGAGCACCAGCTTGTTGTTGCCCAGTCTGAAGGGGTCCCGGTAGAGCGCCACCGGGTGCAGGTACACGTCGCTGTTGCTGCCCTCGGCCTGGCCCGTCGACGACCCGTCGAAGTTCCAGATCGGGAGCTCTGCAAACAAAAGGAAGTTTATACGAAAAATCTACAATGCCATTCACAGATTCCTTTCAATAACCCGGGAGAAATAAATAAATAAATAAAACACGAATTCTATTCATTATCAAGAACTAGACGACGAATCGCCTGTAAAAGTCCCACTAGGCAAACTAACCACAAGGAGCTTTGGGCACGAAGTTCAGCGTCCTCGTCTTACACCGCACGTTCTCTCCCGTGCCATCTATCCACACGTACATCGCCTGGCACTTCACGTCAGGGATGTCCAGCCTCAGGAATCGGTCCAGCACCGTCTTGTTGGTGAGCGACGCCATCCTGAAGTTTTAAGCTTTGCGATGTTAGCCCTGTTCTATCGCGACTTCCCTGTGGACAGTAAGAGAGAGGAATTGATAGAGTTTCGAGTTTTGTGAAGTTACCCCTGGTTTATTGAGATTTCCTCGTAGATAGCAAGAAATAATTGATAGTTTTGGTGATGAATTGTTTGAATGATGTTGAGAAGAGGTTCATTTCCGTATCCATGTGGAAATGAATATGGGAAAGATGAGGGAATCATATATATCAGATATCATAAATTGTATCGACCACATTTTCGTTTGCTTTCTTTTCGTTCTTTCTTTTCATTCATAAAGTTATTGTTATTTATACTTACCTTCATTCGTTTATCCATTTATATCATTGTAGTTCTTTCATTATCATTTATTATTCATGTATTATTTTTAATGAACTTTTTAGTAATCCCAAAGGATATATCTTATTATTTACCCTTATGTCTGTTGCTAGTTAAATTCTATTGAATTCCTTCTTGAAAAGAAAACGAGATTGAGAGGAGAAAGAGAGAGACAGACAGACGGACGGACAGACAGACAGACAAACAGAATTACAGACAGGCAGACAGGCAGAGATAGGCAAATACAGAGATAGAAAGCGAGAGAAAGAGAGAACGAAATAAAGAGAGACAGAGATAAGTAGAGAAAAGAATATGAATCTTTTGTTTTTTATACTTGCGTTCCTTTCCATGTGATGGTCGGGTCTCGGACAAAAGGATAAGAAAATGTTCTGATATTTGTAAATGTTTTGTATTTGTCATAGTTTTGATTATCAAATAATATCATTTTATGACATATCAACTCTTTTGTCAGTGTAATATATTTTGATCAACAAAGATCTAATACATATAACTTAAAACTACGATATA